AACGATATTGATAAAAATTGAATAAAAACCACAAAAATGATAAGAAAAACTTGAAAAAATTTCTTGAAACTTTGGATGATATTTATTTAGTCAATTATTTATTACTTTATCACAAAATAATTGGAAGGAAATGCATTGCATGATGTGTTTAATTGATTTAAGTTGATTATATAACGAGCTGACAAACACTACGAGTGTAGAAAATATATAGTAATTAATGAAAGAAGATTAAACACACCATAATAATTTATTTATAATGATTTACTATAATATTTTACACTTTATACATTGCATGATAAGATACATGAGTGACTTCGTACCACATAGAGTTCCTATAAGGTTCAAATTTGAGTTATTTACACTAATACCTCCTGAAGTTTTTGCCTTTTTCACAAAACTCCTTAAGATTTTAGAAATTACAAGAACACCCCCTGAGGTTTTAAATTGTTTTCACAAAACTCATTTTCATTGATTTTTCATCCAAAGATTGATGATTTTGTACCAAAAAAATTCTCCAAATGACAAAGTTGGCCTTTGAAATTAGACTGCATATACTTTATTGAGATTAGTTTTGTCATTTGCATAAGTTTTTTTTTTTCCAATGAAATCATCAAATTTTGGACAAACAATCAACGAAAAGGGGTTTTGTGAAAACAAACTAAAACCTCAAGGGGTGTTCGTGTAATTTTTGAGACTTGAGGGAGTTTTGTGAAAACAGAAGAAACTCAAGAGGTGTTAGTGTAAATAATTCTTCAAATTTTTCGCTTTCTTTATCATCTCGATATTATCGATATTATAGCGATATTAAATCAATATTTTGGCCAAATGTTGCTGAAGTGTGAGAGAAATTATCGACGTCGATATTTTTTGATATTATCGATAGTCATACGATATGTGTATGAATATGTTCCAAAATATCATAGACCTGAAAAAACAATAATAGCATCGATAATTCGTCAATATCATTGATATTTTAGTCCTGATAACTAATAAATTACAACACGTGTTTGAGATTTACGAAATTATTAAGCTTGATAATGTAAGTAAAGCCTGATAAAGGAGCAATAAAAACTTGGGCTCAAGCCCCAATCACTTTGGGCCGGGACCCTGCGGCTTGAGAAAAAGGTCGGTTCGTTGGTGGCGTGATGAAAATCGGATTGGATGACAACAAAACCCTCCTCTCCCTGGTGTTTTGGTTGTCGCCTATTTTTCCCTTGAGCTTTAGCCAAACCCTAAATTCTCTTCACCTGCAGATTTATCCCTTTCGTACCTGAAAACGACACTTGGGTCTCTCTGCAATTCAGAACTTCTCAACGACGCATCATCCCTGCACCAATCTTCTCTGTCGGTAAGTTTTCTTTTCTTTTTTTCTTCATGCCTCTGGCTTTGATTTTTCATCTTCTTGCCGATAGATTTTGGGTCAAATCCAGCAAATTTGTTTTTCGATTTGATCTTATATGTTGTATGCAATAACTTTTTCGAATTTGTTCTGCTCTCTTACGGTTGTTTTTGTTTTCTATATTTGATTGAATTAGATCTGCACTAATCTACTCTCCTTACGATTTATAGCATACAACAATTGTATTGAATTTTTTCCGTTGTGCGTTTTTATATGGCCAATAACTTTAATTTACGGAGAAATAGACTAGAACTGAAATTGGTTAAGTCAATTGTAAAATTTCTTTGCGAAGTTTGATGGCTTAGGGATGCCCAAGTAATTGAAAATCGTTTGAAGAATTTAACTCCATAGACAGATGAAGTGAACAAGTTCCTTAGGCGTGTACTCCAGAGATGCCGAAAGTCTTTTGATGTCTTTTTTATTCTAATTTTATCGAAATCGATTAGTATTGCTTTGCTTATGTTTGTGAACCAATTAATTTGGTCATTGTTTTCCGATTTCTGTGTGCAGTTCCATAAGTAGGTTTTCACCATGGCAGCTCTAAAGGAGCTTCTGCCGCCCGCACAATCAACCACAACAACTTACTATGACCATTCAAATGATCCGTGGTTCAAGCAGCGCTTCAGTTCAGCTGAGGAAGAAAAATCTTCTGTCATCAAGCCTAATCCTGTACCTCCTTACTTGAAGCGTCAAGGCTTTGTACCTAGGAAGGTAGAGGATTTTGGGGATGGGGGTGCTTTCCCTGAGATTCACATAGCTCAGTACCCCCTTGGCATGGGCAGGGACAAGTCCGCTAAACTTGGAACGAAGATACTTCCAGTCACTGTGGATGCACATGGAAACATTGCGTATGATGCTATTGTTAAGCAGAATGAGAATTCAAAAAAGATCGTCTACTCTCAACATAAGGATCTTGTGCCTAAAATTTTGAAAAATGAGGAAGAGGAAGGGGATGATGATGAAGAGGAGGAGCTGCAGAAAGAGATTGAAGAAACGACAGCAGAAACAAAGGCTGCACTTGAGAAGATTGTGAATGTGAGATTGAGCGCTGCGCAGCCAAAAAATGTACCCAAACAGTCGTCAGACTCGAAATTTATCAAGTATAAACCATCACAGAAATCAGTGGCATTTAATTCTGGTGCTAAGGAGAGGATTATCAGGATGGTGGAGATGCCTGTGGATCCACTTGAGCCTCCTAAGTTCAAGCATAAGCGTGTTCCTAGGGCTTCTGGGTCCCCACCAGTGCCAGTCATGCATTCCCCTCCTCGTCCAGTGACCGTAAAAGACCAGCAGGATTGGAAGATTCCACCTTGCATTTCAAACTGGAAGAACCCGAAAGGGTACACCATCCCATTGGACAAACGTCTAGCAGCTGATGGGAGAGGCCTTCAAGATGTTCAGATTAATGATAATTTTGCAAAGCTTTCCGAGTCTTTGTATGTAGCAGAGCAGAAGGCTAGAGAAGCAGTTGCTATGAGATCTAAAGTTCAGAAGGAGATGATAATGAAGGAGAAGGAAAAGAAAGAGCAGGAGCTGCGGGCATTAGCTCAGAAAGCTCGTTCTGAGAGGACAGGTGCAGCACCTCCTGCTTCTGCCCCTATGCCTTCTGAGAAAACAACAATGGATACTGATATGAGAGGGGATTATGAGCGTCCAAGGGAAAAGGAGACGGATTACCCAAAGGAGACAAGGGAGGAAAGAGAAGAGAGGTTGCAGCGCGAGAAGATCCGGGAGGAGCGACGCCGAGAAAGGGAAAGGGAGAGAAGGTTGGAGGCCAAAGATGCAGCGATGGGAAAGAAGAGTAAAATTACAAGAGACAGAGATCGTGATATTAGTGAGAAAGTTGCCCTTGGCATGGCTTCTGCTGGAGCAGGAAGAGGGGGAGAGGTCATGTATGACCAGAGGCTGTTCAACCAAGAGAAAGGAATGGACTCTGGTTTTGCCACTGATGACCAGTACAATGTCTATGACAGAGGCTTGTTTACTGCTCAGCCTACACTCTCAACCCTGTACAGGCCAAAGAAGGATGCTGATGCTGATATGTATGGAGGTGCTGATGAGCAGATGGATAAGATTATGAAGACTGATCGCTTCAAACCGGACAAAGGATTTGGGGGAGCTGCTGAGAGGAGTGGTCCAAGAGATAGGCCGGTTGAGTTTGAGAAGGATGTTGAAGAAGCCGATCCATTTGGTCTGGACCAGTTCTTGACAGAGGTGAAGAAGGGTAAGAAAGCCATGGAAAAAGTTGGTACAGGAGGAACAATGAGAGCGAGTGCTGGATCTTCAATGCGAGATGGCCATGAAGGCGGGGGCTCCAGCAGAACTCGTATTGGGTTTGAAAGGGGTCGCTAACTCTCTTCAACTTACTTGGAATTGGTCTGTACTTGCCCTTGATGTTTCTTTGGTTGCTTCTAAGGTTCATGTGTAAGTGTTAAAGTTCTCAATGGGTTATGTAATATACGATGGTGATGGATGTGCCATGTTTTAATCAAATGTGTAATGGTGTTTCAGGAGCATTATTATTATTTCCTCTAAATGTTTTTCAAATAATTTTCTATTAATTTTGTGTTTTCTCAATCCGTAAGGGCCAATTGTGTGAAATAGCTAATGGCGAAATTGTGCGAATTGTAGCTGACTTTACAACTGGACTAAACTCTTCATAATCAAGATCTTCTTTTTGTTTGTACTCTTGAGCAACTAGACGTGCCTTGTGATGTTCAATCATGCCATCCGCATTTCGCTTCACTTTGTATACCCACTTGCACTCTGTGATATTCATGCCTTGTGTTACTGGGACCAAAGACCAAGTATCATTGCGGAATAAAGCATCATATTCGTCCTTCGTGGCTGTTTTCCAATGAGAATATTGAGAAGCTTGTTTGTAGGTGGCAGGCAGGTTCAAAAGACAAGGGATCCTGAAGACTTGCAGTAAGACAGTGTGGCAATGGATGGGGAGAAGTTTCATAGACCAATTGTTGGAGGCTTCCGAATTTAGTATGCATAGGTGAATAATCAGGACTTGTCGAAATTGTGGAGGATGTATTTGAGAAAACTGCAGGAGGCGAAATTGGTTCATGGTGCAAAAATCACTTGTTAAGCCATCTAAGCTTATGGTGCAGAAACCTGTGACGTTTAATTTGTCTGTCTCTTGCTGCTTTGCCTACCTCATTGGTCCTGAATTTGAAATCTTGCGGATCCTACCAGATGGTATCTTCTAGACTGGACAAAGTGTGTACACATCATTGAAGGGGTTACCCAAGGACTCCTATATCTTCAAGAATACTCCAATTTTACAATTATTCACCGAGATCTGAAAGGTAGCAACATTTTACTTGATCATGAAATAATTGCTAAGATATCAGATTTTGGAATGGCTAAACTTTTCAGAAAAGATGGACTTGTAGCAAACACAAACCGGATTGTTGGAACATAGTAAGTAAACTGCCTCTTTTTGGTTATTCACACACACATGATCATATCCTTTAATACTTGTTGAGGTATGCAATGCAGTGGTTATGTTCATCTGGAGGCCTGCATGTTGTAAACATTACAATATTTTGTTAAATTAAAAATTTGCAATTCCTTTTACAAATGATTAGTGGAAGGAGGAGCACATGTTACTATGGTCAGAACGAAAGCTTGCACCTCTTGCAATATGTAAGTTCCATAGCTGTCTATGATTCTATCACCACTACTGGAAACTATTACTCAGATCTAAACTATATATGAAGTAACATTCAAACTATTTCAGGCATATCTATCATGGAAAGAGGACAAAGGAAGGGAATTTATTGATCCATCACTGGATGATTCTTCTTCTTCTTGTAAATTATCGAGATGCTTGCAAGTAGCTCTATTTTGTGTCCAGGAAAATCCGGAGGCTAGGCCTACAATGTTGGAAGTTTATTCCATGCTCAAAACTGACATTGAACCCGTTCCCACTCCTAGAAAGATGGCTTTCTTAGGGCATGGAAGTATGGAAAACATATCTACACTGGAGCAAGGAAGTTGTTCAGTTAATGATGCACAAATTTCCGAATTGCAACCCCGATGAAAATGCAGGCTCAGAATAGGAGACATTAGTTTTTCATTTTCAATGGTTGAGTTCTTAGGCTCAATAATGTGGGTGGTCATATACTCTATGAAGTGTACAACATTTTAGCAACTTTGGATTCTTCATCTGGAGGCCTGCATGTTGTAAACATTACAATATTTTGTTAAATTAAAAATTTGCAATTCCTGTGCACAGAGAAGGGAGGGAACTGGTGATTTGGAAGTCATTTGAACATTGAACTAGTGGTTAGGCTCAGACCAAGGAGAGGATATGCCAATTTTTTTTTTGAACGAAATTCTTTCGTACAACAAAAACAAAAACTGTAGGAAAAAAAATTCATTGAGTTAATTTTTTTTTCATCTTTCTTTTAAGAAAAGCCTAGAATACACGGTGTTTCTATCTGAATGAAGTCCAGACTTGGCTTGCCATTGCTTTCGTGGGCAGACAAACTTTTCCAAGAATTCACGTTTCACAAAAAGTTTGATGGCGAAAGTGTTCCATTCCATGCCACATCATCTTCAACTTAATCCAGAGACTTGTGGTAAAGTAACAAGTATTGCTCATGGCATATGAATTATGGTTACTCCATTTCACACACCCTCCTCACCATGCTGATTTAGATCAAAGCCCACATCCATAATCACGACGTACACGGAAGGTCTCGTATAAATTGCACTTTCAATTTCAACGGTGAAACGGAAAATGAACTCAATTATTGAGCTTTTGCAAAATGATACTATCTACAAGACTTCTTTGAAGCTGTCTTTGATAAAAAAAAACAAAACAAAAACAAAGGGTGTGTGCATTTGAACTCAGCACAAGCTATACGGGAATTTGTTATACGGGATTATTTGACCCAAAAAAACAAAACAAAAACAAAGGGTGTGTGCATTTGAACTCAGCACAAGCTATACGGGAATTTGTTATAGTGAGAACAAAATATACAACTTGAAGCTGAGTTCATTTGGAGTTACAAATGAGGAGGACCCATAAACCAACAACAACTAGTGCTTCAAGAAGAACGGTGAAAAGGAAAATGAACTCAATTATTGAGCTTTTGCAAAATGATACTATCTACAAGACTTCTTTGAAGCTGTCTTTGATAAAAAAAACAAAACAAAAACAAAGGGTGTGTGCATTTGAACTCAGCACAAGCTATACGGGAATTTGTTATACGGGATTATTTGACCCAAAAAAAAAACTATAAAAGATTTTGTAACCACACTGTAGGGACGCAATTAACTTGAATAGGTTGAAAATGAATCCTTGGGCCCACCTTGAGAATCCATTTATTGAACTTTTCAATGACTAAACAGACACCAACATTGCAAGATAGTGAGAACAAAATATACAACTTGAAGCCGAGTTCATTTGGAGTTACAAATGAGGAGGACCCATAAACCAACAACAACTAGTGCTTCAAGAAGACAAGGCAGAGAACAATCTCTCAAACAACTTGGGACAGTAAACACCTCAAGGAGGAGGGCATTACCACCCAACTTCCACCAATACATTCCAAAGAACATCACAACATCTCCAAATTCCCACTTGATCCCCAAGCACCATTGATTGTAGATCCAACCAAATCCAGAAGCTCCACTTCCAAAATAGATAGATCTGATGACATGTTTACTAATCTATGATCGGATGAGGATGAATTAAATTAAGGATAAGTTGGATTGAGGAGAGTTAGAATCCGGATTCTTATTGAAGTTGTTTACTAAACCAGATGGAAATGAGGTAGGAGTGGTATTGATTCTTATAATGTTGTTTACTAAATTACCATGAATCGGAATTGAAACCAATTTGATTACTAAAATTCCCTCGTTGTTGGGTCAAAGTAGATGATAAATTAGGAATTTTAAAAATTATGTGAGGATATAATGGGTAAAAACAATATGGATTCTTAATGGGTTAGTTCTCCAGGAATTTGAATACCACCTCTCAACCAAGAGTCAAATTCCTCCAAAATTAGGAGTTGAATTCCCCATTTTGTGTGGGTCCCACCTGCAGTTTTATTCCTCCATAAACACATGAGTTTCTGTAATAGGAATTCAACTCCATATTTTGATTATGATTACGGATTAATAAACATGAAAGAGACCTACTATAAGAAGAAATATTTAGATCTTCCAAAATCCAGCTCCAAAAGGTTGGTAAGCAACCCCTAAAAAACTATGGATGAGACAAAACCTTGCAAATTTCAGGCATAGGACTGATTGTATTCTATGTAGCTACAATATGTTAAAGACCAGAGAGACGGGCCAATGGCCCATTACTAGCAACGCTAATATTGTCCCCAATTTATCCACCTACAAAGCCCAGTAGATGTGGGGTTTTATCACAAAAGGCCTTTGTGATATTAGTAGTGGAACCATTTATTATATATTTTATTTTATTGAGCCAAGTTTTCGATTTCGGACTTATATTCTTCAACACGCCCTCTCACGTGGGACCACCACATAGTGGGCCACACATGAAACAAAGTCTACATCGGAGTCAAATATTCAAGCATAATACGTGAACACCACATATTTGGTAAGTGTAAACATTCAAGCCCAACATATGAAAGTGACACACATGCAAGAACATTTTAGAGAAACGTGTCTGCGGCCAGTATTCCATTGGTAGGGATATAAAAATGACACACATGCAAGAAAATTTCACATGAGTACAGGTATGATTAATTAGCTGATAGGGACCCTGGCTTCTGTGCACGAGGGAAGAAAAATAGAAAGAAGATGAAGACAGAAGAGAGTTTATCTTCTTCATTTTTTAATTAAATTTTAGTGGTGCTCCCAGTCTCCCACATTAAAAGGATGCAACATGTTGTAACATCTGGCCGATATGTGAAGCAAACAGATTTCCTCTTGCACAAACAGCATTGAGAAGCAATCATTCTTGTGCATAAAAGTCCAAAATTTGATGAACAAGTTGAGTGATGGATGATGTGATGTAACCAGGGACAGATCCATGAATTTTCTTTTTAGGGGTTAACGTTTAACACAATAAATTTTTTTTATACAAAAATAAACCTAGAAAAATGAAATGATAATTTATAATTTATAATTAATAAAAAAAAACACATTACAATTATTCACGATGAGTTTTTATGTTCTGAAAACGTCTCATTATAGTTTCATTATCAATACAAATGAACACATAGTTCTCAATATAAACAAGTAAGCTATCACTCTATTGATCGGGAAAAGCTAACTGAAAATTCATATAAAAAAACTAATTGAGCCTCTCTGTTGTTTCGTTTTCTTAAGAAATCTATTTCAGCTAAGGCAAACCAAATAGCTGGGAATGCCTTAATTTCCCCCAAGCCCAATACTTCGAGATCTTAAATTTATATTTCCATCAATATTTAATCAACCAAATACAAAATGAAGCATCAAATATCAGTCCCACCGAGCAGTAATCTTCACTTTTGTCAAATATCCATACTTTTTCAAAGTTAAAATAAAAAGAAGCCCTTTTTTTATCTTTTTCCCTACAGACCAACCAATGGGTACTCAAAGTGAAGAATATTGAAGATAAAAGTGAAGATATCACCAAGCAGTTATCTTCACTTTTGTCAAATAAGTCAAGCTAAACTGAAATCTCATATTAGTGAGCAAATCACAGATAGCCATCAAACTACATTGAAAAATATTGAAGAATTGACGAAACTGAAAGCAAAAAGAACCAAGGCAGTGAAGGTGAAATTTGACATTACATTTTGTGGACTTTATCTCTGAGGCGTCTCTTCTTAGCTGCCCAACGAGCATCAGATTGCGAGGTCGATAAGAGCGCTGCGCGCTGGGGAGAAGAGCGCTGCTCTTTGGGGACTTTCGTCGAGCAGTTTGCAGGGGTCAATTTTCTCCCCTCTAATGGCAGATTCCAGAGTTTCAGGGGTCACTTGACCACCCTTGCTCCTCTGTGGATCCGTCCCTGGATGTAACAACACATAATATATGTACTTGTTATATAATTTGCATTGAGTTTGTAAGACAACACAACATATTATTTGGTGTTACCTTCACGGGTAAAGATTCTACTTGGATTTTTTTCAGACCAAAAAATGAATCTACTTGGATTTTTTATGTATAGAAAATTAGACATAAAAAAGGAGTTATTAGAAATAATTCGTGTAATTTTATTTTTCAATGTAAGTCCATTAACTATCTTTCCACGTCAGCAAAGGACTTGTAGGTTTTTGGGTAAATACTACGAGGTGTCCATACACCCGAAGGGTGGGACTAATCCCTGCTCGGAGTTCGGCTTGCTCCTGGCCACAAAGTGCTCATAATGGGTTTCGAATCCCTACTAGTTAGGCACCCGGAAGTTCACCAACTGGAGTTGGCAGTTAGCCAACCGCACCACATATTGTGGTTAAAGAATTTGTAGTTTAAGTAGTTAAGAGTATTGCTTGTATTAAAACAAAAAAAACCTATCAACAAATTTACCATAGCCAATATTTATAGTTCCAATTTTTCAAAATCTTAGACCCGTTTGATAACCAGTTCAATTTTAGTTTTTAATTTTCAATTCTTATGTATGAAATGGCCTCATGGATCTGTGGTGCCTTATTTTGAAAGACTATGACGATTCCTTTGTTCTCAAGTTTTCCAGCAAACAGTAAAACAATTAATTATATAAGAAGGTGAAAGCTTATGCCAGTGATTAGCATATTGACAATTTAAAAACAAATGAGAAATTGTCTCCGGATGCGCATAGGACATAAATTTGAAGTATTAGTGAAATGGGCAATTTTATTGTTAGTAAACAGTAATTTTTATTTTATTTTTAACAAAAGTGACTCCAACGTCACAATCAAGTGCCAAAGAGGCAAGGCTTGGCACATTTTCAATAAATGGCACAAGAGCAGAGTTGGCTTTCACCACACAG